TGCCACCTGCGTGGCGGCGCGGCCCGAGGAAGCGTCGTCTTTGGCTGGGAGGGCCGGTGGGGGGCTCGGACGCGTCGCCGCCGGACGTCCCGTGCGCCCCGAGTAGCCCGGCGCGTCGGAAGCGCGGCTCGGGTGAGACTGCGAGTCAGCCGGCCGCCCCACACCTCTTCCCGCCTCGTTCGCGCCCCACGCTTCAGTCCAGGGACGTTCGGACTCTCGGTTTCGACCTATGGCGGATGCCCCCTCTCTTTTTTTCTTTTACCTCAGAATTAATCAAACAGAATTAATTATTTCGGACTGACCGTTTTTCTACCTGGACTTTGTGTCTCTGGAGAACGGAGCGTGTGGTAACCTCCGTGAGGAGAATTGCGGAGACGGGCGAATGGCAATGGTGAGGCTCCTGCCCACTGTGGGACACATCTTTTGTTTAAAAAAAAGAAAGAAAAAAAAACCCACTACCAGTGACATCCAAACAGGTCTAGTCAGAAAGCTTACGGGACGTAAAAATAACGTTTGAAGGTGTATGGGTAGATTTTTATTAACATTACAACTGACCTTGTCCTTGGTTGGGACAGTTAAGCGCCAGGTGTCCGCGTCCTTGATTCAGAAAGCACGAGGGACTGGGCGACCGCGTCAGGGTTTGGGTACCGGAGCCGGACGAAGTCGCGTCGGGCCACTTGCAGATGGTTTACCTGGGCGGGCGCTTCCTTCGGGTCTTTGCCTGGGAAGCGCGGGGACGGGAAGGCCCCCGGCCCCTGCTCCCAGCGCCCCTGACGACTTGTCGCTCTCGCCCGGCCCGGGAGCTCCCCGTCGGTTCCATGGTGCGAGCCGGGCGGCGGTGGGGCGGGAGGCCGGTGCGTGGTGCCCGGCGCCCAGACCCGAGCCCCACCGGCCGCCTGGCTTTGCATAAGCTCTTGAGGATTTGTCAGCCAGATGTGACAAGATTGTCGAGAGGCTAGTGAAGGAGGAGATCTGATATTAATCAGCGCATAGCTCGGAGCCAAACTTTCTCAAATGTGGTGTAGAAACATGTTCTTCTCATTTAAGGCGTCTCTTTGTGGCCGTGGGGCTGCCACCGGCCCGCGTTTGACAGTTGAGTGGAATGCCAACTAGCAGCCGGAATTGTATGAGTGAAGTTGTGTGGGTTTCAGGGGAGGGGGGCGGATTGGGGGCAGAGATCAGACACCCTAGGGTTCAGTAATGTCCCCTAGTTTTACGGCCCTGTTCACCACGGCCCTCTGAAGACCAGGGCGTTTAAATCGGGCCAGACGCATGGTCACAGCCAGGCCCCTGCTGTTAACACTTAAGGGGCCTAAAAGAGGCCGCACTGGTGCCCTGGGAATCCCTGTCAGAGAGTGTGCGCGCGCGGGCGAGAGAGAACATGTGTTACTGCATGGGACCGTGGAGCAGATGTAACAACTTTTTAAAAATATATGCTTATCAAAGCGACAAGATTTTGACCTGACAATAAGTGAATTGAAGAACAGCATTTGGCAGATCTTTTTTTTCCCTTTCCCTGGTGTCCTTTCATTCCTTGTTTATTGTTTTAATTTGCTGTTTTCATACGATTTCTTAGAGACACTCTGAGTTTGCATATGTGTTTATGTGTTAAAACTTTTCTTCAGTGATAAATGTCCTGCCTTCTCTATTGTCCCTTCCGAAATTGATATACATTATTAAAACCTCATTAAAATTGTATATGTCAAAGTAAAATTTTTGTACAGCATATAAAAGAACTTTACTTCAAATGTTACAAATTGTGCTGGATTTGATTTTTGCTTTAAGGAGGTGTGAAAAGATAGCTGCCCCTTTTGCTTATAATGAATTTTAATAAGTATATTATTTTCGGTATACTTTCAAATAGTTAAAAAGAGCAAGATATAAGTCATCGTTTGATTTCTCATCTAATAAGTTTACTAACTTTAACTTCGCCAGGAAACTATTACTATTTCAACTCAACTGTTGGTCAGACATGTTCCTGTTATAGTTAAATGCTGAGAAGAGACGGTGAAATCTTCACTTAGTACACGTGCTGCTCATACTTTGGGAACTCATAATTATGTTCAGACATCTGCATAATTTAATTTGGAATATCATCTGTACCTATGGAGTCCCTTCAGACTAGTAAGGATTTAGAGACGTGTTCCTCCTTCAGTCACATGGAAAGTGATTAGTTTGAAGTTATTTGGCCGTTGATATCCACCAGGATGTGAAACAAAGATCTGTTTGCTGTGGTTATAATTCACATTAGAAATATTAGCCAACATGGAGTAATTGTCTTGGAAGCACAAGGTACATACATAGACGATTATTTTTTATTACCTCTCCCCCATGAAGCAGTTAGTCCCTCATCCCAGGGCCATGTTACCTCAGGATCATCAGCTTGGAAAGACGATCCAACACGAAGGATGAGAAAAGCTATATAGATTCCCTGTGGAACAAATAATAATTGTACCTTAAGCACACACTTGTCATTTATGAATGCCTAGGGATAAATACAAACAGGGGAACATTTTAAAAATTCAGTTTGTCGTAAAATTAAATGGCAGCCTATGAGGTGGGGTGCAGAAGTGTCTTTTCCCTTTTGTATATATTTTTAGAAGTTATTTTGACAGTGGCCATTAAAAGAGATGCCCTAAAGGTTCCACAAAGTAAATTATTTGCAGGAGAAGTGTGCTTTACCCCAGGGTGAATTTTCTCCTCTACAGATGTCATTTAGAGTGAGTTACTTTTGTCAGAAACAGCTCTTTTTAAAAAGAACAAAATACCCTAGGTAAGGTAAAAATCTCAATGCTGAGCCACCCATCTTCTTGATATCTAAGATCAAGATTTATGGAGTCAGTGTATTTGTTTAATTACCTTATCCTGAGTATTCTACTGCAGAGCTTTTATTTCATTTATTTATATGCTTATTTTACTTATTTTTGATGACTTATCTGAGAGATGTTAAAGATAACTTGATTCTGTGCAGAAGGAGCATCTGGAAAGGTTTTTTTTTTCTTTTCTTTCAAATTGATTTCCACCTGAAAACTTTATTTTTGCTTATCTTGTCATCCTTTGAAGTCCTTTGGCCTAATTCTAGAAATTCCAAGATTCCAGTGTGGCACCATTTCTCTGCACAGACACACGCTTATTTTAGCTGAAGAGGGTGGGTATAAACAGAGAGCAGACCTGCTTCTCCAGAGTCCAATTTGGGGCCTTCTCAAACTTCACATAGTTATAGGAAAAAGGCTGTCACTGTTCCCATCCACGCATGGACTCATTATTATAAACCAGCATAACAAATCACAGGAGGACTCCGCCTTGGGGGGATGATAATTTCACTCAACTAATGTAAAGCAAAAAAGAGATGAAGAAATGTTGTGAAGACCAATTTTAAACAGCCCTGTGTGGAGGGAAATCAGGTAAACTCTTGTTTAGGCTTCTAACTTTTTTCTTTCCATATAGTTGTATTAGTTTAGTTGTCTCCTCTTGCAGATTATTTGTGTGATCCTACCATATACTCCATCAAACATCAAAATTATTTTCTGTCTCTACACCAGCTTCCAAAATCATTGTCCTTGTCCTGTAGCCCTCTGATCGTTCCTTCCGTTATTCACTAGGAAGGTAAAATTTTTATACCATCAACTCTAACATTTACATCTATCGTAATATGATACACCATGCTGAATTTCAAGACAGTGATCAGGATGGTATAATTAACCAAGTCTGATCTTTAAAAAAAAAAGAAAAAGAAAGAAAGAAAGAAAGAAAAAAAAAACTTAGTTTTGAAAATCTAGTTCTCATTAAGTCCCTGAAAGAAATGTTTACAAAATTATTCTTAGAAACATTTACAATTTCATCTTTATTTTGCATTAGCAGCAATAACGAAGTTGCATTGCTCATGTAACTGTCCACCTTAGGTAAAATTATCCTAAAGTGTTTAGTGTCTTTTTTTGTTTTTTGTTTTTTCCCCAGGCCAATTTAACTGTGTTCAGAAGTTCCCTATACATGCAGTTACCTCTTTCTGTTTTTTTGTTAACGAAGTTTTCTGAAGATTAACTCTGAGGTTTCTCAAATTTAAATTATAAAGGAAAAAATATATCCATATAATTTATATTTCTATATTTTTATTTTATTTTTTTAAAGAAGAAATGTTTGGTTTGGTTTCTAAGGTAATATTTGCATGTTTTCCTGCTTTTTTAATATTTGCAGTTTCAGAACTAATAATTTTGAGAAAAAAGACACAGATGTTAAATTATTTTGGCACAGGGTTTATACTTTGATTTATAGACATCAAAAGAACAAGTATTTTCCCCATCATATGACTCTTTGAACTAAGCAGCAAGAGAACACTACAAGTGTGTCACACATACTTTCTACACAAAGGTAGACCCAGCCCAACATCTGCCACCTGAAGGGGCTCTACCTCCCACCTGCTTTTTCTCTGCCAGATCCTTTTCCAGGCCCTCAGTCTTTAACTGGCCTCTCCTTTCATCCCCATAACTGCAGTGAGAAACCAGATTTTGTCAATTCTTCTATAATGCTGTTTTATATTGCAAATGCTGCCTACCTGGTTTCTGAGGCTCTGCAAATCCTTATTACGTGTGCTGGTAGTAAACAGTGTCTCTCCATTGTTCAGAACCCTAATGGTTTCATGAACTCCATAGCTAGACTCCTGGCAGTCCATCTGGACAGCCCACCCCCACCTTTTGTTACCTTTCAGCGTGGGCTCTCACTGCCCCATAACAGAAACCTGTGCTCTATGGCCCATGCTCCTGGGTCTGACACACATGTACGTGGTGAGCCTTTCTTTGTGCCTAGGCCTGTGGTATTTCCTGCGTGCGCTAATGAGAGCACGCTTGCTTCCTCCTGGAGGAAGCCTCCTCTGGCCTCTTTGCACAACATTGCTGTCTCCCTCTATGTCATCTCACTCAAATTAAAATTTGGGTGGGGAGTGGGAACCTTGACTTAGTTTATTTTTTATCTTTTATTATAGCAAATTTCAACCAAAATTAGAATAGTTTAATGAAGCTTGCTGATATGCGCTTGGGGGCTCAATGGTTATCGACTTTGGGCCAATTCATCTATATTCTCTACCAATTCACCCCACCATTACCAACACTGTATTACTTTGAAGCAAATCCTAGGTATCATATAATTTCATTCATAAATATTTTAATATGTAGTTCTAAAATATAGACTCATTTATTAAACAAATAATATAGCATAGAGCACATAAAAATATTAGCAATAACTTAATGTAATTAAATTTCTAGTCAGTGTTCACATTACCTTGATACTCATAAACTTTATATTACCATTAGTTTGTTCACATTAGGATCCAACTAAGGTCCATACATTGTCTTTTTTAATCTATAGGTTTACACTTCACTTTCTTCCTTGCAATTTATCTGTTGAAAAAGCTGGGTCATTTGTCCTGTAGGGTGCTTCCCAGTCTGGATTTTGATGATTGCTTCCTTGTGGTACCCTTTAAACCCTCCTCTGTTCCCTGTGTTTTCTTAAATTGGAGTTGATCAAGAGGCTTGAACCTATTCAGATTTGAACTTTTTTGGCAAGAACACCAGATGTGTGGTGGTATGTATCCTTCCATCTAGAGGCAAATGGACTGGTGTGTTCTTTTTCATTAGGAGTTGTGGAATAGTGGTATTGTAGTTCTTCATTTGTTTGATTCACGTTCAGAGGGAACCTTTGTCTCATCAATGATTTGGTTATCCTGAAATACAGGTTGTATAGAAAAGAATACATACTTGATTCTTTTCCTTTATTTACTAGTTTTCAGAATAATTCGTTGGTTTCCTAGCATTCTGTAAAGGTGACCAATGAGTTTTGTGTTTGTTTTTAGCATATTTTGAATTCCTAGATTTTAACATAGTGACTCATGCTTATTTTTGACAAATTATATTCTCCACTCTGCTGTGCTTGACCAACCCAGTTGTGTGTCTTTTTTCCCCAGTGAAGCCATGTGCCCCTAGTGTCTGCACTGGGAGTTACTCATCTTTGTATCCCATTGAGGCTTCCCATGGTTACCAATATATGGTAGATTCTTTTAAAAACAAATAACAAGTTGTTAAATGATTATCATTTTGTTA